CCAACATAGACAATATATTTACAATATTCGAGATCAAAAGCACTCTACATGACCTACGGCAAAAAGACTCCTCTATCACGAAATAGTTTAATTCCTTAACTCGTTATTGGCAACAATTAGATATCTTTAAAGAAATAGCATGGAAGTGCCTTGACGATAGCCAACGATACAGGAAAATAGTGGCGAAAGACCGAGTTTATAAGTTTCTACTTGGTCTAAACAAGAGCCTTGATGATGTTCATGGGAGAATTCTTAGCATCAAGCCATTACCCGGCATCCAAGAAGTTTTCTTTGAGGTCCACTGAGAAGAGAGTAAAAGGAAAATATTGCTAGGGACATCATGCGATCCATAGGAGACAAAAAATTCAGTCATTGCTGCACGAGGACCAAAATCCTACAGAAGTGGTGAAAATCGATAGAAGAAAGGTAACAGACCTTGGTGTGACCACTATCAAAAGGCAAGATACACGTAGGAAAATTGTTGGCAAATCCATGGGAAACCTGCTGACTACAAACCACGTTCTACTCGAAAGCGAGAGTCATGGAAATTCTACCACCACCGAGACAACTCCAACACCCCCGGAATCAAGCCCATTTAGTAAAGAGTAGTTGAAACTCCTCAAAAAAATTGTTCAACAATCTCTTCAAAACGCTGGGTCAGCTGTAAGCACAACATCTGTTGCACAAAAAGGTAACTCTCTCAATGCTCTACTTGTGCAAAATGGAAAATCAAGATCTTAGATTGTTGATTCAAGCACATCAGACCACATTACTGGTGATGCATCGGTGTTTCATGACTACAACCCATGTTATGAAAACCTCACAATTCGAATAACAGATGGGTCACTTTCTCAGGTAGCCAGGACAAGTTCAATCATTATTTCAAAGGACATAACACTTGACTCTGTTCTTCATGTCCCTAATTTAAATTGCAACATTCTGTCTATTAGTAAAATTACGAGAGATCTTAATTGTGTTACTAAATTTCTTTTTAACATGTTAATTTCAGGGCTTGGATTCAGAGAAGAAGATTGGTATTGCTAGGTTGCATGCTGGACTTTATCTCCTTAGAGATGAGGAATCTAAAAGACAATCATGGATGAGTGCTTGTTTAGTTTCATCTTCTAGTAAGAGTAAAGAAAATACAATCATGTTATGACACTATCATTTAGGACATCAAATTTCTTATTCCTCAAAAAATTGTTCCCTGATTTATTTAATAAAGGTTCCAAGTCTATCAATGTGAAATTTAACAGTTTTTCAAACATTCACAATTCATATCCAAGTCAACCATACAAATCAACTCATCCTTTTTCTATGATCCATAGTGATGTTTGGGGACCATCGAGGGTTAACAATATTACAGGTTCTAGATGGTTTGTTACCTTCATTGATGATCACACTAAAGTTACATGGTTGTTCCCTACGAAAGACAAGTCTGAGGTTAATTCAATATTTCAAAATTTCAACAAAATGGTGCAAACTCAATTTCAAGCAAAAATTCAGGTGCTCAGAACAAATAATGGGCGAAAATACTATCATTCAGTTCTTGGATCTTACTTGTTGGATCAAGGAATTATTCATCAGAGCCCATGTACTAAAACTCCTCAACAAAACGAAGTTGTCAAGTGGAAGAATAGACACCTGATGGAAGTTGCAAGATCTATTATGCTAGCCTCTCATGTCCTGGAACATTTCTGGGAAAAGGCAATCCTGACAGCAACCTTTCTTATTAATAGACGCCTTCTCGAGTACTAAAACTCCAAACCCCCAGTCAAACACTTCTCAAAACCTACCCTAATGTCCAAATCATTTCCTCCATACCAGTTAAAATGTTTGAATGTACTACTTTTGTTCATATACACAACCAACAATGCAGTAAACTAGACCCCAAATCACTCATGTGTATATTTTTTGGCTACTCACCTAACCAAAAAGGCCACAGATGTTATTCACCAACTACCAGAAAGTTTCACATTTTTATGGATGTCACCTTCTTTGAGAATCAGCCATTCTATCCCAAAGCCGATATTCAAGGGGAGAGTTTTAGGGAATATCAACTTTGGGAGATTAAGCCATCATCTTATCATTCCTCTACTTCTCTGCCAATTCAAATTCCCATTTCAAATAATTCTTCTTCTTCTTTTGAGTCAACTAGTCATCTTGAGTCTCCAAAATCTCTTGAAACCATGCAAGAGACAAAAGCTAAGGAAATGATTGTATACTCAAGGAGACCAAAATCTCAAAATGAGATAGGGACCGGTACATCTTCGACACAGAACCAAGATTCTGAACCAAATCCAGGGACTTTTGAAATTCATACAAGTAACACAATTACTAAACCTATCTCTAATGATTTTCCTAGTGATCTTGATCAATCCATTGCTATAAGAAAAGGTGTAAGATCATGTACTCAACACCCTATTAGTAACTTTGTTTCCTATGAAGGATTGTTTCTTACTTACCAAGCACTACTTACATCATTAACTGATATTCAAGGAGACCAAAATCTCAAAATGAGATAGGGACCGGTACATCTTCGACACAGAACCAAGATTCTGAACCAAATCCAGGGACTTTTGAAATTCATACAAGTAACACAATTACTAAACCTATCTCTAATGATTTTCCTAGTGATCTTGATCAATCCATTGCTATAAGAAAAGGTGTGAGATCATGTACTCAACACCCTATTAGTAACTTTGTTTCATATGAAAAATTGTTTCTTACTTACCAAGCACTGCTTACATCATTAACTGATATTCATATACCGAATACCATCCAAGAAGCGCTCGAACAACCAAAGTGAAAGGCTGCGGTAACGGAAGAAATGGAAGCACTAGAAAAGAATGGCACATGGAAAATTACTAATCTTTTAGAAGGAAAAAGCCCAGTGGGATGTAATTGGATTTTTACCATCAAACACAATACAACCGAAAGTGTAAACAGATTCAAAGCTCATCTTGTGGCTAAGGGGTTCACTTAGTCTTACGGGATGGATTATAAGGAGACGTCTGCTACTATAGCAAAACTAAATTCTATCCGTGTTACTATCACTTGCCGCAAACCTAGATTGGCCTCTTCACCAACTCGATATCAAAAATGCATTTCTGAATGGTGCTCTAATGGAAAAGGTCTACATGAAGATCAGTCCAAGGTTTGACAACCAGGACAACATCGACAAGGTGTGTAAGCTTCAAAAACCTTTATATAGCCTTAAACAATCTCCTTGCACTTGGTTTGATCATTTGACTAAGGCAATTAAAAAGAATGGGTTCTTACAATGCCAATCCAACCACACTATGTTTGTCAAACATTCACCAAATAGCAAGATTGCTATTATGATTGTTTATGTTGATGATATTGTCCTCACAAAGATTATGAAAAGAAAATAATTGGATTGAAGACTCTTCTAGCTAAAGAGTTTGAAATAAAGGACTTGGGACAGCTTCGATATTTTCTTGGCATGGAAGTAACTCGATCAAGAAATGGTATTTATGTTTCACAACAAAAATATGTACTTGATCTTCTCAAAGAGACAGGGATGCTCAGGTGTAAACCAATGGATACTCCAATGGACCCAAATATCAAGATGCGAACCAAAGATGGAAGTTCACTTGCAGACCAAAACAGATACCAAAGAGTTGTGGGAAAATTAATTTATGTGGCACACACTAGACCTAGCATTGGCTTCTCTATAAGTATGGTGAGTAGATTTATAAATGATCCCACAAAGACACAAGATGGCAATATATCGGATCCTTCAATACTTCAAAAAAAATTCGGGCAAAGGGTTGCACTTCAAAAAAACACTAAATAGAGATGTGGAGATTTTCTTGGATGCAGATTAAGCTGGTTCTGTGACAGACTGAAGGTCAACTATAAGGTATTGTACATATGCGTGGGTCAACTTGGTCACTTGGAGAGCAAGAAATAAGCAGTGGTAGCTTGAAGTAGTGCTGAAGCTGAATTCAGGTCTATGTCTCATGGGATTTGTGACGAAATTTGGCTTGAGAGAATGCTACAAGAACTGAAGAAGTCAGCTGGGAATTCAATGAAACTGTTTTGAGATAATAAAGTAGCTATTAACATTGCCAGAAACCCTATTCATCATGATCGAACAAAACATGTAGAGATTGATCGCCACTTCATCAAAGAGAAGATTGAAGAAGGCGCAATCAAACTAGTCTACACTCCAACAGAACATCAGATAGCCGACATCCTCACCAAGGCTCTTCATCGTGGCAATTTCGAGAATTTGAAGTTCAAGTTGGGTATGATTGATATCTACCACACAACTTGAGGGGGAGTGTGAAAAACCAATTCCTAACCAAATTTGATTAGGTGTCATCCATTTAGAATTTTGGTTGTTTCCTAAATAAAAAGGATTTGGTTCATTGATCAAATTCCTACTTGGTAGTTTCCATTTATCGTTAAGAGGATTTTTAGGTGATTTGTTATTATCTCTAGGATATCATGGGATTTGCCAGATTTGATGTTTTAGCTATATATATACTCTTGTACTCTAGAAAGTTTCTTAAGAATTATAAATAAAATTCTCATGAATTTCTTCACTATTGCAAGAAAATGTGATTCAAATAGAGGATGCCAAGTTAAGAAGAGTGAAAAAAAGGTGGAAAATAATAAAAAGGACCATCCTTCTGCTGAAATAATTTAGGATACTTCCTAAAAGGGTACTATGATTTCATACAATCTATGTAAGTAGCTAAACATAGCGTGAAAAGACTTTTTGATGTTTTTCTATAAGATTTGCAGCATAATAAAGATACTGTAGTGTAATGGTGAATTTTCTCTCACGTTCTACCACTTATCAGCATAAAAATTACTGGACCTCAAAATAGAGGCTAAATAAAAATTAGTTTATAAAGGAAAAGATAGTGATATTTTATATCAGGCACTTTATATAGTTTTCAAGGCACACAATTCAACTGCAGATGAAATGGGACAGAAAAAGAGAAGATACTATGACAGAAGCTCACCAGGTTCCTAAGGAGTTTGATCCGCCAACAGGAATAACATATGGCTTCCTGCCTCCCTTTAGCAACTGTTCTTTCAGAACATTAGTAAGGGCCTGATACCAAAAGTTTCATATAGGCAGAATTAGTAAACCGCATGATGCATTAGCACATAAAACTTATCAATTCAATCACATACACAGTGGATCCTACAATCTAGAAGCAACATTGTTGGTGACATGTAGTAGCTCAGAAAAATTCTCAAGAAATCATTAAAAAGCTCTTATTTCAGCCATCTAATAAAGGCAACCCCAAAATCAAATCTGCTAGTTCAGCTCAAAATCCACGTCAAAGGTCAAACTATCTAACAAGTATAAATTGAAAAAGGGCAAAATATCAATATCAGATTAACCAATCCATTAGTAAACAGAATGTATATATAATTTTGATAACAAGCAAACCAACTTAGCTCCAATATAACTTACAAAATACTAGCACAATATCATGGCAAGCCTTCGATGTTAGCAACGCTAATAAATATTATCTATGAAAATGAGCAAAGAGTCAAATTGTAATAGACACAGTATGCCCCACTCTGCAACAAATGAAAATCCTAATGCAATTGCAAAAACAATTACTAGATTTTCTGTTCCCGACAATCCAATGCACATTAGCATCAGTCTTTGGTAATTAGTAATTAGATGGAGTATTACAATAAGTATAGTAAGAATAGCAAAAATGGCAACGAAAAAGTCAGAAACTAACAACACTCCCTATTTTTGCATATTCTTCTTTTGAAATAAGTTGAATATGAGCTCCCACAAAACGCTCCACCAGCAGATTGCCTGTCAATCCCGGATCTTTATCAACAAGAAGCTGCAACAGCCAACTGGTTAGGATAAAGAAAAGACTGTTGCAGAGAAAATAAATAAATAAAATAAAGAAAGGAAATGGTGGAACCTTAGAGGTGCGGAGTATAAGATAAGAGTCTAGATTCAAATACTTAGCAGCGACAGCGGTGGCGCGGCAGTGGTTGCTTTGGATGCCGCCAATTGTAATGATGCAATCAGCGCCCTGGGCCACTGCTTCCGCCAACAAGAACTCCAATTTCCTAACTTTGTTACCGCTCAGTTGCATGCCTGAGAGATCGTCACGCTGGATGGACTAAAATCGTCAGTGGCAAACAGCAAATAAATTTTTAACAAGAAAAAGAAAAAACATAGCCGAAATTACCTTCAACCAAACCTCCGTGTTTTGGGGCAAATTAGGCAGATTCCACCTGTGAATTGGAGTAGGAAGCTGAAAAACAACGAATAAGATTAGGCTGTTTTGGTGAGGAAATGAAAATTAATCTAACATACTTACATGACCAAGAGAGAAGACATGGGAAGGAATGGGTTTGAGATGGGAGCCCCAAGAAGGAGGAGAGTAGGGCTTCTTGCTGAGGAAATCAAAGCTTAAGGCCTTGGCTTTGGGGGTTTCGTCGTTGGTTTCCATTGTGTGAGACTGAAAGCAATAGACTCTGGTTCGTCCAAACAGGGTAATAGAACGGTTGAGAGGAATTGCGGTTGGGTTACATGACCACAACATCGCTTTTCAGTTTCTTACTCCTAGAAAAGCTAAAATCTCCTTCCTGCCTACGCCTTTATTTCCGGTTTGATCATGCGTCAAATAATTTAATCAAATGTTTATATATTTTTTTTGTTTAATTATTTTCTCAAAATTTTGCTTTTTAAATAAAAAATATTAAAATAACTATTAAAATATTTATTATTCAAGTATTAAGAATAATAATTTTATATTAATATTTTAAAATAGTAATATTTAACAATATTCAATTATTAAAATTTTAAAAATATTAAATTAATATCAAAATATTTAACAATACTATTTATTATTAAAACAGTAATTTTATTAATATTTTGAAATATTTAAATTAGTATTTATTATAAAATATTAATATAAAATACTAATATTTATTATTAAAATATTAAAATACATATATTATATGTTGAAGTTATTTTTTATTTAAATCATTAAAAAGTATTACTTATAGTTATTATTAAAATGCTAATATATAAATATGTGTTATTAAAATAGTAAAAATACTATACATTTTAATTTAAATATTAAATACGAAAAAATTCACATTATTAAAATAGTGGTATTGTATATTAATCATTATTAAAATCATACAAAATATTATTTATTATTAAAATAATAATATAATATTATTTACTACATTAAAGTATTAAAAATATTTATTATTTGTAATATTCAAAATAGTGATATTTTATATTAAAATATTAAAAGACATTTTATATTATTATATTAATATTTTAATTAAAATTAAAATTAAAATATTTTTTATTAATATAATAATATTTTAAATCAAATCAAACAAACCTAAAAATCATGATCAAGACTATATTCGAATCAAACTAAACTCTCAAGTTTTGACAAATAGTCTAACCAATGAAACAAATCTTTTTTGAAAAATATTTTTTAAAAAAGTAAAAGAGAATTTTTAAAAATTTGATTTTGTTTGTTGTTGACTAGCAATTAATTTTTTATTGATTAAATAGATTTTTATCAAATACATATTAATATTTTTTAAAAAAGTAAAAGAGAATTTTTAAAAATTTGATTTTGTTTGTTGTTGACTAGCAATTAATTTTTTATTGATTAAATAGATTTTTATCAAATAAATATTAAAAATTGTAAAAATTATATTTTAAAAATTAATTTTTAAAAAATAAACAAAGCCTATGTATTAATTTTTTATGAAAAAGGTAAAAAAAAAATCAACAAAGGCGCATTATATATAAAAACTAGAAAGAGCTTGAAACCATTAACAACACCACCATAATCAAACGTTTTTAGAAGTTTATAATTTATTATAATCTTAAACTTCCTTCTTTTAAGTTTAGTATTTTTTTTATAATGCAAAAGATGAAATTAAAGATGTAATCGAATCGAGTTGAATTGATACAATAAAAAGTTCAAGTTTAACTTAAAATTTATTATTCGAAATTCGACTCAAACTTGATTGAATTTTAAGTTTTAAGTTTGAGCTCGATTGAAATAAAAATCAAGTTACTCAAACTCCTTCAATTAACCTCATTTATCAAATAAAAAAAGAACTCAATTCTTATACTTGACTTTAAATTTAATTATTTTATTCAAACTCGAACACGAATTTATATGTACAGTAATTTTTTAATTACAATATAAAATTTCAATTAGGCTCGTAAACTATTTAAGTCGCACATTAAGAAGTTTGAACTCAACTTACTCAAAAAATTGAGTTATTTGAACTCGGTTTTATAATGATCAAGTCAAATATAAGTTTTATTTGAATCGAATCCGAATACTTTATGAGTATTAATATATCATTTATATCTCTGAACAAAATAAGATAACTATTTTTTCTTATTAGTTTTTTCAAAAGATCTTTTTTTTTAACAAAATTTTCTAATTCCTATTGATTTGAATCAATCTTGCTTTAATTGGAATTTGTTGTTCATCAAAACCCTTTTCATATGGTAGATTACTACATGTTTTCACATGGTAGATTAATTAATTTTATTAATTAATAACATATTAAAATTGTATTAAATGATAATATTTAAATTATATATAATTATTTTAAATAATATTATGAAGAATTAAATAAAAATATATAATATTATATTCAATATTTTTATATTTTAAACTTTTTTATACTAAAAAAAATCAAATATATAATATCAATGTTGCCAACTTTTAGCTCCAAACTTTGTTTTAGGAATGGAAGACAATGAGCAGAGTCATCTCCAACGAAAATTACAAAATAAGGTATTGAATTAAATTATTTATTACATACTGCTACATTAAAAATAATTAATAAAAATATCATGTTTAAATTAATAAAAGATATAATTACTTTTTACCCTTTTGTGTAATTAGATATAAAATTATAATATTTATTAAAAAAATATTATATGTATATTTAATAAAAAGCATAAAACTACCTTATAATATATGTATGCAAATATTCCTAAAAAATTAAAATAAATATGTATGTTAAAAATAATGTTTGATAATATTTATTTTAATATATTTTCTCTTATATTTATTAATAAATATAAAATTTAAACTTTTATCAATCTGTAATCATTAATTATATAAATCCTGCACATTTTAATGCCACGTGACACCTTCCTATGACTTTTTTTTTACTTTTTTAATTTTCAATTGATAAAAAATTATAATTAATTTTTTATTCAATAGAATATAATAATTTTTTATTGAATAGAATATAAAATTATAATATGTATAAACAAAACATATTATATGTATATTTAATAAAAAAATATAAAATTATCTGATAATATATGGATGTCAAAAACTCTAAAAATTTAAAGTAAATACGTATATTTAAAAATTATGTTTTATAGTTCATTCATTTTAAACTCTATAAATTAAAAGTAAATATTTATATTTAAAAATTATGTTTTGTAGTTCATTCATTTTAAAATTTTTATATTTATTAACAAACACAAAATTTTAACTTTTATCAATTTTTAATCCTCAACTAATTGTTCATTTTTTATTCATTTTATATTAATTATTTTAAGTAATTATTTTTATCATAATACAAAATATAGCAAAATATTTTGTATATTTAATTTTTGATCAATTATTTTTATCATAATATAAATTAATAAATATTTCTATTACATCATCCTATTTTGTAACTTTTTTAGGTTTTACTTCTTCCCACATGCAGTAGCTCAGGATCATCGTTTTATATCTATGCCATTAAAGTTGTTTATTTTAGAAATCATTAGGGTGTTCACTGACACTTTCTCTTTTTTTTTTTAATATTTTTATTTAATATTTTTATTTTAATATTTTTATTTTATGTTTTATTAGATGAATTTTATAAAAAAATTAATAAAAGTGATCATGACAAAATAATTAGTATTTGATAAGTTTCGATTAGCTCTGATACAATAAGTGTGTTTTTTAAAATTTCAAGATCGAGTTTTTTTTTTGGGAAAATATGGATTGGATTGGAGGTAAATTTAAAGTGTTTCATCCTATCCTAATATATATATATATATATAAATATATTTTATCCTTTATTTAATTTCATATTTATATATACTATAATAAAAAAATTATTATTTATATCTTAATTTAATAAATTCATATGGCACCTCATTTAAGCTTTTTTTTATTTTTTTATTTTTTGTTATTTTTAATCACGTAAATTTTATAAGAAAAAAATTAATAAAAGTAAGGATGATAAAACAATCTAATCTGATAGATTTTGATTTGCCTCAATCAAATAAATGTATTTTTAAAATTTTTTATAAGATCAAGTTTTTTCTTTTTAAAAATCGAGATTAAATTGGAAGCATGTTTAAGATATTTCGTCTCAATTTGTATATATATATAAATATTTTTTATTATTTATTTAATTTTATATTTATATAAAATTATTATTTAATATTTTAATTTAATATAAAATTATATTTATACATAATTAAAATATAATATCTATTCATAAAATAAATATTTTAGATTTTTAAGCTCAAACAGAATATCCATGTCACAGCTCCTTCAACTCTTTTTTAAGGATGGCAAAAACTTGAAACCATCAGATTTTGACCCGACCCGACCCGATCATCTAAGGTCAATTTTTTTTTAAAAAAAATGGATTTCGGGTCAAGTCGGATCGATTTTATTTTTTTAAAAGGCAGATTTGAGTCAAGGTCGGGTTTATATGAAACCTGACCTGACTCGAGATATTTACAAAAATACGCTTGATATATTTATGTAAATTTTTTTATGGTTTCTCATTTCCTTCTTTCTCATGCTCGATCTTTTCAAAATTCTTCCTCTACCTCATTTCTTCTTCCATTTTCTTCCTCTATTTCAGTAAAAAAAGCATCCATATTTTAAGCCAAAAAAAAAAGTTAAGCTTTCAAGTCATTTATAAATCTAGTTCTAGTTTCCCTCGTTCAGCCATTCTTGCAATTTCACTTTCTTAAAAACCCTAAATCTTCGAACCATCATATATTTTTTTTTCTTTTTTTTTTATGGTTGAAAAATAACTTTTTTTTTAATTTGAGTTGATTCAGGTTATTTTTTGGCTTATATTATTTTTATCATCATTCAACAATATGATAATAATTTTGTAACCCGTGTATGCAGTAGAGAAACCCCAAGATAATTGCTAAAATTTTGGATAATAAAAAATGACTCTTCTTGCTGATATCTTGAGTTGCAGCTTGAGAAAGATTCTTCAAACAAAAAATACAAGTTTTGGCGCACTAATTTTCTTACTTGAAGAGGCATAAAAATTTTTTAGAAAATCCAAGATCTTAATTAGTATTGAATTCACAAACCATGGAATTGACTCATTTAGTTTTTTTTTTTTTTCTTACCAGCAGGTCCTAGCTTTCTGGATTTTTAAGATATTTTTATTGTTTGTTTACAAATGTGAGAAATCATCTTGTTTTGATCCATTGCAAATGTGGAAATGTAATAGTCTAAATTCAGCTATTACTGGTGCTTTCTTCCTTGTATAAATGTTAGCTTAGCTTGTGAAACTTATAAATAAGTGTTTACTTGTTGATGTTATATGTGTATGGTACATTTGAGTGGTTGGGCATGAGTTTTCTTTAT